ACACACACACAGACACACACACAGACACACACACAGACACACACACAGACACACACAGGATGATAATAAGAAACTGACATTAGGAAGAAGCTTACCTTTTTCTTTGGGGAACTAGGGTTTAATCCTGGGCCATTCTACCCCTGGGCTACATCTTTAGCCCTTTTTATTTGGTTGAGACAGGGTCTTGCCAAGTTGTCTAGGGTCTCACCAAGTTACTAAGACTGGCCTTGAACTTGTTGTGATCCTTTTGCCTCCAGCCTCCCAAGGCGCTGGGATTGCAGGAAACTCACTTTTTCTGACGAGGCCCCAAASAGCCTGCGAGCTAGCAGCTTGCCTGCCTGGATGGCCACAGGAGTCAGCTCTGGTTTGCCCTCCAAGACGTCGCCGATGGCATAGACGTGGGGCACGTTGGTCTGTTCCATGTCATTCACTGGGATCTTGCCATTCCTAGCAGTGTTTGGAAAGGAAAAAAATACATAGGGACCGACTATGTTACAGGCTGAAAAAGAATATTCCAAAAACACACAGAGGAAAGTCTTCCAGCTAAGAAGCCAAGCTCCTCAGGTTATCAATAATCTATAAGGTTAGTGGTTTCAAATCCTAAGAAGAATGTCTCTGGTCAAGCCATGCACCACTCAGCTCAGACACTGTGGCTGTCTCCAGACGTCCCCCACAGACAGACTCACAGCTCTGCAATTCTTCTCCTTCCCTGACCAAGAACATAAAAATCCACTCAAAATCACGATTTTTAGGTGAACGTCTCCATTTATTTTTAAATTGTTGCTGAGTGCCTGAACTCTTTAAGACAGCGATCTGAGTAACTGGTTGGGCTGGGGCTGGGGCTCAGTGGCAGAGTGCTTGCTTCACACACGACAGGCCCTGGGTCCGAGCCTCAGTACCACCCAAAAATAAGTAACAAGATAAAGATATTGTGTCCATCTTTAAAAAAAAAAAAATAGAGAGAGTACCTGATTGATGTAGAAATCAATACAGAGCAGCCGTGGTACATATTGTGAGATAAATTTAAAACATTAAAAGTTTATATCTTGGCAGGTTGAGGCAGGAGGAACATGAGTTCAAAGCCAGCCTCAGCAAAAGTGAGGCGCTAAGCAACTTAGCAAGACCCTGTCTCTAAATAAAATACAGAATAGGGCTGGGGACGGGGCTCAGGGGTCCAGTGCCCCTGAGTTCAATCCCCAATACCACCTCCACCCAAAATTCGTATCTTAGCAATGCTAAGAGGTGACCTACAGCCAGCTTTGCTTTGTGTGGCAACAGGGCCGCGACCCCATGTACTTACTTCTCATTGATTTTGACACCAATCTTCTCCAAGCCTAATTTCCTTGTACAGGAGTCACGGCCAATGGCTAGCAGGACCTTATTTAGAAGAAGAAGAAGAAAAAAAWTGTCATAATGGGCACATTGCTAAAAGTTCTTCAGACATGAAAAGGACAATAATGAAATATGATGAGCCATCTCGGCCAGTCAGTCTAGTGTTGGCTTAGGTGAAAGAGTTCTTGAAAGTACAACCTGTTGATCTTACACACAGAAGTCTGGTAAGCCCAGGTCATGAGCTGAAGTGTGTCTACATGCTGAAGCCTTATCCAAGTACCTTAGATTGTGGCGGTATTGGGAGATAGGGCCTCTAAAGTAGTAATTACGGTAAAATAAGGTCACACAGGTTTGTCCTTACTATGGTTTGGACCAGGGTCTCCCAAAGGCCCTTGTGTTTTAAAGGCTTGGTCCCCAGCCTCTGGCCCCACTGAGAGGTGGTGGAGAGACCATGTAGTGAAACTTCCCAAACACTAAGCCAAAAGAACCTTTTGTCCCTTTTAAGTTGAATTATCTCAGGAATCCTGTTACAGTAACGGAAAGCTGACTAACACAATCTTAATCCCATGTGAGTAATGCCCTTAGAGGAAGAGGAGATTAGGATACAGAAAACCCTCAAATGGAAGAGAGGACACAGTAAGAAGGCAGCCATCTGCAAGCCAAGGAGAAACACAAGAGAAAACACATCTCATGACTACTTGACCTTGAACTTCCCATCTCTGGAATTGGGATAAAATAAATATATGTTGATTACGCCAGTTTGCAGATTTTGGGCACTATGGCCTGTGCTTTCCATTACTTGACAAATACCCGAGATAGATGACTTAATAGGAGGAAAGGTTTATTTTGGCTGGCAGTWTWAGAGGCTTCATTTCATGATCACTCGGCCCTGTCACTCTGGGTCAACACATCATTGGGGGACAACATTGTGAAGGAAGCCTGTTTAACTCATGGTGKTCTGGAAGCAAAAAGAGAAACAGGAAGTGTCCCTCTAAGGGCATGTTCATAGTGACCTAACTAATATTTCACCATGATGGAGGTCAGTCTGGACAACTCAGTGAGACCCTCACTCTGAATAAAAGATAAAAAGTACCAGGGACACCGTTCAGGGGGTACAGCCCTGGGTTCTACCCCCATGACTGCAAAATCAAAACCCAAACAGATAAGGACATTAAAAGAAAAGAAAATCCCAAGTCCCTACTCTTCATGAACATAGATATGAAATCCTTCACAAAATGTGAGCAAACGGAATACAGAAACATATAAAAAGGCTCTCCTGACCAAGGGGAATCTGTCCTCAAACTGCAAATTTGACATATAAAATCTATCAGTATAATCCATCCTCTTAACCGGATCAAGAAGCAAACAATGATCATCCTAATAGCTGCAGGAAAATCATTTGACGAAATTCAACACTCCATCATCCAAACAAAATTCTTGGCACGTGAAGAATTTTTAGAAAAAAAAAAAAAAAGAATTTTTAGAAAGTTCCTCAATTGAATCTGAAAGGCACGTGTAAAAAAACTTACAGGTCACCTCCTAGCAATSACGAAAGACTGAATGCTTCACTCCTAAGATTGGGAACCACACAGGAAATTCTCATAACTCCTAGTTAACTCTGGCCTAGAGGTTCTTAGCCCCTGCAACGAGGAAAGAAACAGGCAACAACCTTGCAGATTGGAAAGGAATATACAAACGGTTTTTACTTGTAGACATGCATCCTAAGTGGCTACAAGGTCAATAAGTCCCCATTGAACATGAAAATTTTAAAAATATCATTTATACTAATTTAAAACATCATGAAATTTTGGAAGAAGTTTTGCAAAATATGTGAAAGCGCTCTAGACCACAATGATGAAGCATCATGAAGAGAAACAAATGGAAAGATACGTGAGGTGTGTGCACTGGAAAAACAGACACTGTTAAGATGGCATTTCATCCAGATCCCCCAGTTGAATGGCCAAATGACTTCAACCGAGGCACCCAGATAATTCAAGAGAGAAAGGACAAATGGTACCAGATATGGAGGAAAAAGCAGCTCAATTCTTCCATCACGCCATACCTAAAAATTAGTTCAAGGAGGGCTGCAGTTTTATATTTTAGAAGATAAAACTCTAAAGCTTCAGAAGCAAAGCACCAGGAGAGATTCGTGACCTTTGGGGGAAGCGAAGATTTCTCAGAACTGCAGAAGCACTAACTGTAAAAGAAAACAGAGAGAAACTGGGTTTCATAAAAATTTTAAGACCACGGCTCATCAAAAGGCCCTATTAAAAATAAATAGGCAAGTCACAGATGAGAAGGAAAAATTCCTACTACATACTCAAGATCTTTACAGGGCTCGTCAGATGCAAGAACAAGAATTCAAATCACCCAACACAAACGGCCAAAGACTTGAGTGGACACTTCATAAGGGAAGATATATGAATGTCCAACATGAAAAACTGCTGCACGTGGTTCGTTATCACAAAGATGCAGATTAAAGCCACCTCAAGGGCTGGGGCTCAGTGGTCCAGCGCCTGCCTAGCATGTTGTRAGGCACTGGGTCTGATTCTCAGCACCACATAGAAATAAATAAAATAGAGGTGCATCAACCTCTAATAAAAATATTTTTGAAAAAAACAGCAAGATTCCACCACCCATCCACCAGCATGGCTAAAATGAAAGCCAGACGACATCAGAGATTGGTAAGCATCAGAGATTGGTAAGCCCTGCATGTGGCTGATACAAATACAAAATGATACTCTCTGGCTGGAAGTGCTGGGTGCTTCCATTGCAACATAAGCCCTGGATTCATCCCTGCACTGAAAAAAATTTTAAAAATTCATAAAGTTAAATATGGAAATATCCTATGATCAAGCCATGCCATTCCTAGATATTTATCCAAGAGAAATTATTATATGGCCACAAAAAGGATTTTTTGTTTTTTGTTCTTTTGATACTGGGGATTGAACCCAGGGGTGCTTAATCCCTGAGCCCCCATCCCCAGTCCYTTTTTATATTTTATTTAGAGACAGGGTCTCACTGAGCTGCTTAGGGCCTTGCTAAGTTGCTGAGGCTGGCCTCCACCTTGCGATCCTCCTGCCTCAGCCTCCTGAGCCGCTGGGATGACAGGAATGTGCCACCGTGCCTGGCCCACAAAGTTTTAAACAAGAAATATGCATAGAAGTTGTAATCACATTAGCCTAAGATGAAAAGAATACAGGTGTCCCAACACAGGCAAAGAAAGAAACTCGTCTAGGYCATATAGTAAGAGAACTAACTGCCGAGTGCACACCACATGGAGAATCCTAAAGACATCAACCTGAATGAGTACCATATACTGAAGAGCAGAGTACACAGTGTCTGATTCCCTTTATGGAGAGCTGAGAATGGGCAGAGGTAGCCTGTGGTAACAGAATCAGAACAGTGGTGGCCCAGGGTTGGGGACTGGAAGGGACAGGAGGTCTCTGGACTCAYGGTCATGTTTTGCTGCCTTTGAAGGGGTGTGCATGGCATGAACACCGGCCCCTGTCCAAACCAATTAGCCTGTGTATCTAAGATGTGTGCATTTTGCGGGGGAGGAGGGGATTCTGGGGATTGAATTCAGGGGCCCTCAACCACTGAGCCACATCCCCAGCCTGATTCTGTGTTGCATTTAGAGACAGGGTCTCATTGAATTGCTTAACACTTCGCCATTGCTGAGGCTRGCTTTGAACTCGAGATCCTCCTGCCTCAGCCTCCCAAGCTGCTGGGATTATGGGCATGCGCCACCACGCCCAATGAAGATGTGTGCATTTTTACATGGAAATTACACCCCACTTCAAACATCAATAGCTTTTAGAAATCAGATATCGTGAACAACTTTATACTGACATATTTGGAAACTTAGATGAAAGGGACTAATTCCTAGAAAAATATGACATATTGAAAGTAACTCAAGGAAGAAAAATGGAACATTTAAAAAAATTCTTTGATCATTAAAGAAACAGAATCAGTGCTGAAATATGTCTCCTAGAAAATTCTAGACTCATATGGCAACATCAGAGAACTCCATCAAACATAAAAACCCATTCTAATATCACATAGAGGTTGCCAGAAACAGGAAAGAAAGAAACATAGTCCGACTCCTTTTATGGGCTCTGATAACCTTGACACCTAACTATAAAAAAGTTTAATACGTGAAAGGAAAATCATATGCCAATATGATTCTTAAATACAGATGCAAAAAATCGAAATGACCCAATCTAGCCTAACCAAGTAGGGTTGATTCCAGGAATGTGAAGCTGACTAGACTTTAGACCATCAAGGCCACGGAGATTGAAGACTCAAAAGACCATCAACAGCTGTAAGACAGCCATTCTTACAACTGCACGTCCATTCCTAATTTTAAGATATTTGAGTCAGCTTTGCATCACTTGACAAAATACCTAGAAGAGCAACTTTGAGGAGGAAAGATGTTCTTTGGCTCACAGTTCAGAGTCTCAGTTTGTGGTTGGAGGCTCCATTGCTAAGACCTGGGGTGAGGCAGAGCACATTTGAGAGCTGTGACAGAGCCAAGGTCTCCCCTTCTTGGCAGCCAAGAAGCAGAGAGAGAACGGTCAGGAACAAGAGAGTCTCAAAGGGCAGCCCCCAAGTTCCCAGCATCTCCCAAGAATCTGTTCATCGCAAGATGACGGAACACAAACTCTCAACACAAAAATCACCATTTCTCCATATTWGCAATAAATGACAATATTAAAAAAATACCATTTGCAGCTACACATAAATATGGAAGTAGGCATAAATCTAACAGATGGTCTCTTGATCTCCCTAGAACTAGTTTAAAATAACAAAGGAGCAATAATTACATTTAATAGAAGTCAAATCCAGTTAATAAAATAATAAAATTAATYTAATAGAAATTCATTAACTTTGTTGGGAGTCATTAAAGAAGATCTATGTCCGATATCCCCTGTCCATGAATGATTGTTAGACTGAATATTCCCAAAGGAGTATTCTAATACAGCCAACGTAATYCTAATCAAAGCCTCTATTTTTTCATTTTTAATGTAYTTTTTGRTCCTTTCTATGTTATRTTTACTTTTTTAAGCTAAAAAATTTTGTATAGAAGGGCTCATAAAACATAAATGTACAGCTCAAAGAATTACCAGCATCTAAAATCTTGCATCAGCAAGCCAAAGTGTTTCAGAATTTTGTATTGTTTATTCCTAAGGAAAAAAATTTCTTAATATTTTTTTTACTTGTAGTTGGACACAATATCTTTATTTTATTTGTTTATTTTTATGTGGAGCTGAGGATCGAACCCAGTACCTTCCACGTGCTAGGCGAGCGCTCTACCACTGAGCCACAGCTCCAAGAATTTTTTTTTTATTATTTAATAATAGAATACATTCAGTGTTTACTGCCAAAATTTGAAAATGAAGATATATATACAATATCTAATTCCCCAGGAGTCAGCAACAAGGACATTTGGGTATAGACCTTCAAGAGTTTGTTCTGGGGTTGGGGCTGGAGCTCAGCGGCAGAGTGCCTACCTAGCATTTGTGAGGCACTGGGTTCGATCCTCAGCCCTGCATCAAAATAAACAAATAAAATAAAGGCATGCTGTCCATCGGCAACTACAAAATATAAATACACAAATAAAAATCTTTTTAAAAAGAGTTTGTTCTGTGCTGTTACAATGATGTATACTGTCCATGTGTCATTGAAAATTCATAGCAGCCCCCACTGTGGTCCATATTTATTCCACTCATTAAAAAAAAATCTTTTCTAGTTGTAGGTGGACACAGTCCCTTTATTTATTCATTGTGTGGTGCTGGGGACTGAACCCAGGGCCTTGCGCATGCGAGGTAAGCACTCTCCCAACTGAGCTCTCTCCCCAGCCTTGCTCCACTCTTGGGAAGAATTAAAAAACAGGAATCACAGTGCCATCTTCCCGGGGTTTGTCTCTGGTGATTCAGGAACATATTCAACCAGTCACTGCTCATAAAATAAGTACTCACTGTGTTGTACACCTCCTCCATGGTTTCTGGTCCTTCAGTGGATTTAGCCCACACTTTCAGCTTTCCGGGTGAGCCTCTCTCCAGCTGCTGAACCTGGCAGGGATCAGTGGTGTCGTGAGTCCATGGAAGGTGACAGGAAGCTAATCAGGGTGGGGGGCGTGGGGGGAACTCCGTGGACCAGGCAGAGAGACAGAAAGGAGCATTGTCATGCACGCCACATGGGAGGGTGCAATGCACTAGCTGAGATTAGAGGCAGCATGAATAGGAAATGAAGGGAGGATCCCAGGCCTTGGCTGAATGAGCTGATCCTGGGCCACTTCCTGAGAACTGAGATGGGCAGGAGGATCGCAGGGTCTAGGAGGAAAAGGCAGAGATCCCCTAACTTTGTCTTCTAAAATCCCAGATGCTTTGGAGCTACTAATCTGAGTCATTAGCATGCAAATGACTAAAACCTAAGAGCAGCCAGAAGACCACCCAGGTTAAAAAAGAAAAAAAATGCAGAGAAGCCAGGGTTGAAAAACAGGATGCGGGATTCTCAGGCTGAGAGGGGACTGGGTGTGTGGCTGAGTGGTAGAGCGCAGGCCCAGCCTGGGCCAAGTCCTGGGTTCCAACCCCAGTACCACATAAAGTCAAACCAAACCACAGGCCTGGAGCCACAGGAGGCAGGAAGAGAGCCCTTSAAACCAGAGCAATGTCACACAAAAGGAATGTCACCTTCCCCACCGCTGTCAGGAGGCCCAGTAAGGTGAGCACAGAGATGTGACCACGGGGTCTCCCAACAAGCAGCTTCACCCAGCAGGTGGGAGTCAACTAAGTGCGTAAAGGAGGCAAGGAATTGCAAGTGGCAGACAGAGAAGGTCTTTCTGTAAAGAGAAAAGGGGAAATAGGGACCAAGCAGGTGTGCAGGGCTTATTAAAGATGGGACCTGCTAAGGATGTCCTTGAAAGAACCTTCCAGAACACCTAGGACACCTTCCCCAGGGTAAGAGCAAGGACAAGGGAGACCAGTTTTGTGGTTTTTGGGAGGGTGGGTTCAGTATCCGCAACACTATTTAAGTGCAGAGTCATTTATTGAATGAAATAAAGTGAGAAGGGGTAAGATTAAAAAGTCAAAGTGAGAATGAGAACAGAAAGGGATTCAAGGGCCATTCAGACTCACCTTCACAGGGACAAATTTCCTCAAGAACTTAACGCCATGTCTCTCCATGTAGGAACCCACTTTCTCTGCCATCTCTTGGTCAAAGCCACGAAGAAGGATGGATCGCACCATCACGGTCACTTCCAAGCCAAAGCCCGCTAGAAAGCCTGCGCACTCCAGGGCGACATAAGAGGCACCCACCACTAAGGTCTTGCCGGGGCAGTAAGGCAGAGAGAACAGGTCGTCACTGAAAACAGAGATGGGAGAGGGAACGTGGAGCCAGGCCCTGGAGCTTCAGTGCATGATGACCCGGGCTGGCCCACGCGCATCGTGGGACCTGGATGGAAGGACACGACAGGAAACAGCCTGGGTGTCTGTGTCTGAGGCTCCCGTGGGGGGACGGGAGGGGACACTCAGCTTTATTCAACATCAAATGAGATCACAAGTAAAGTATTTAGAAAACAAAGATAGGAATATTAGACTGCACTGAAAAGAAAATGGTTGGTTGTTTTGGCAGTGGGTGTGTGTGTGGGCACGTGTATGTGTGCACACATCCAGTGTGTATTGTGTGGTCGCCTGAATAACAGTGCAACAGAAATGCTTTCTCTCCTTTTCCCTCCCCCTCCATATCTATCTATCTATCTATCTATCCATCTATCTATCATTTATCTATCTATCTATCGTGTGTATCTATTTAGTAGTCTATCAGTCCATTCATCTATGTATCTATGTATCTATCTAATAGTCTATTAGTCTATATCTAAGAGTCTGTTTAATCTCTCTAATACTCTATCAGTCAATATCTATCTAATAGTCTATCAGTCCATCTGTCTATCAGTCTATCTCTCTCGTAGGCTACAGTCCATATCTATCAGTTTATCTAGTAGTCTATCAGTCTATCTGTCTATCTATCTGTTAGTCCATCTATCTAGTAGTCTATCAGTCCATCTATCTGTGTATCTGTCTATCCATCTATCAGTCTCTATATATCTATCTGTCTATATCTATCAGTCTATCTATGTAGTAGTCTATCAGTTCATCTGTCTGTCTATCTATCTAGTAGTGCATCAGTCCATTTATCTATCTATCTAGTAGTCTATCAGTCTATCTGTCTATCTTTCCATCTATCAGTCTATCTTGCTATCTTCCTAGCAGTCTATCATTTCATCATATGTCTGTCTATCTAGTAGTCTATCAGTCCATCTGTCTGTCTATTAGTCCATCTATCTAGTAGTCTATCAGTCCATCTGTCTATCTATCTAGTAGTCTATCAATCCATCTGTCTGCCTGTCTATCCATCTATCAGTCTATCTCTCTATCCTCCTAGTAGTCTATCATTTCATCATATGTCTATCTATCTAGTAGTCTATCAGTCCATCTGTCTGTGTATCTATCTGTCTATCCATCTATCTATCTATCAGTATCTAGTAGTGTATCAGTCCATCTGTCTGTCTGCCTGTGTCTGTCTATCTACCTAGTAGCCTATCAGTCCATCTATCTATCCATCTATCTATCAGTCTATCTCTCTATCTTCCTAGTAGTCTATCAGTCCATACCTATGAGTCTATCTATCTAGTAGTCTATCAGTCCATCTGTCTCTCAGTCTATCTATCTAGTAGTCTAGGGGGCTGGGGAGGTGGCTCAAGCGGCAGCGCGCTCGCCTGGCATGCATGTGGCCCGGGTTCGATCCTCAGCACCACATACCAACAAAGATGTTGTGTCCGCCGAGAACTAAAAAATACATATTAAAAATAAATAAATAAATAAATAAAAATTCTCTCTAGTAGTCTATCAGTCCATCTGTCTATCTGTCTATCCATCTATCACTCACTCTATCTTCCTACTCTATCAGTCTATATCAGTCGACCTGTCTAGTAGTCCATCAGTCCATCTGTCTGTCTACCCACCTGCCTACCTACCTGCCTTGTACTGCTGGGGATGGGCCTTGGGCAGACTGGACAGTTACTGGACCACTGACCTACCCCCGAGTCCACAGCTGCTCTCCTACGTCAGCCCGCCCAGACACGTCTGCAGCCAGGGACAGCAGCCTGCAGCACTCCCGTGCTGACCCACAGGGACCTGCCATTGCAAATTTGGAGGGGGCCATGTGGCTCCTGACCATCGGCTTCCCATTGACCCCTCACCCTAAACCCTAATGCTAATTTCATTTGTCTGAAGCTTACAACCAAATTCCTCCGCCATTCCCAGCAATCACGGAGCAGCTCAGCATATTTTGGGTGTAAGTTTTACCCTGACCCTGGTTACTTGATCTTATTTTCTCTGTCTTATCACTTGACTCAGCTTCCTGCCTTGCATGTACTTTTGTTACCGATTCAAATCTTTTGTGCAATAAGACAGAGAGTGAGCAAGCTGGAAACACAGACATAAGGCAATTTGTCAACTTAAAACCATGCATTTACTCTTACCTTGTAATGCAGTATTCTTTATCCCCTTGGATGCCCAAGTACCGTGGCCTTTCACCCGTTGCTATGACAAACTTTGAAGCAGAAAAATAACTTTCCTGTCCTTTTTTATTGGTTGCCTTGGGAAAGAAGGAGAGCAAACTTCACTTATTCCACACACTGGACAGTACACTGGACAAGACAGGCACCACCCAGACCAGGACCCTAGGCCCCACGTCCACTTGTCCTTCCCTAAAACTGTTCTGMTCTGGTCTTTTAGTCACAGCAGCAAAAAACCTGACTAAAACAGCTGTTCGACCATCTGCACCAGGCATATTATTATTATTTGAGAAATAAAACTGACGCTGCCTTTCTACAGTGTTTCCTGTGAAGGATACGATTCAGATCAGTCATGGAAGTTTGCTTTTTAACCTGCTGCTGGGGGTGAAATCCTGGGCCTCAAAGCAGGCTGGGCATGTGTGCTACCTCTGAGGTCCCCACTAGGTCCCCAAGTGAAGGTTTTAAGAGCCACCTCAGCCCAGAACCTTCTGAGGTATCACCTGACTACAAAATCACGGGAAACCTTGTCAAGGTCACTTCAYACTGTGTCACCAAGGCCAAGTGTGGGATAAAGCGGATGCGGAGGGTGATACCTGGCTATGGATCCTAACTCTAGTGAAAACTTCTGTGTTCATCAAAATGATCTCGTTTTCCTTGTGCACTGGTCTCAGAGTGTGCACACATTACACATATAAAAATATAAAATACTGTTACATACTATATTAAATATAATAACACACGTTACACATAATAAGGCCATATATAGAGACATTATACTAATATGTGTATAATATATATTATTGCATTTTAAATGCTATTGCTTTTACCAATGCTTTTATAATAATGTATAGAGACTTTTAGGTAAGGTCTCACTTTTAGAAAGGATTGCACTGCTAAAATGTTGATCTTTCTAGTCTTGTGAACTTTGAACTCTCTGGTCTGAACACTTTCTGTTAAGATGTCGATAGAGTCAAAGGCAAATGATGATTTTAAATTAAGAGTTCTTGGAAAAGCAATTTCTTTCAATTTGCGCAGACACGTAATCAACAAACACAGCCAAGAACAGGCCTGTGTGTGAGTTTAAGGCAAGTGTGAGCAGGACTAAGGRAAGGCCAAGAGAAGGGCAAGAAATTCAGAAAGCACCTTGATTTTATGATGGTCCACAAATTCCCCGTAGGCATTGACGTAGGTCACTCCCTTCTCCCTCAGCGACAACCTGTAGCTCCAGTTGAGAGAGCCGATGTGGTTCTGAACGGCCTCTGTCAGGGTGCTCCAGTTGTGCTTCACTGAAATGACCAGGTGAAGGCCCAAGGTGACCTTGACGCTTAATGGAAAGTTATATACGGCCATGCGAGAACTACTAGCCATTGCTTTAAAAATCAAACATTGACAGAAGAAAACTGGCAACTTCCATGTCTCCTCCTATCTTATATTACAAAGCACATGCAAGAAGCAGAGTTCCAAAAAGAAAATTGAGGGAGCAGGTGTGGTGGTTCACGCCTGTCATCCCTGCAGCAGCGGAGGCTGAGGCAGGAGGATTGYGAGTTGGAGGCCAGCCTCAGCAACTTAGTGAGGCCCTAAGCAATTCAGAGATCCTGTCTCTAAATAAAATATGAAAAGGGGCTGGGGATAGGGCCCAGTGGTTAAGTGCCCCTGAGTTCAATCTCCAGTATAAACAAAAAAGCAGGCATATGCCCACATCAACTGGATCAGAATCTCTCAGGATAAAGAGAAGTCATTTTTATCTTTTTAGAAACCCCACCAGATCTTCTGACGCTCAGCCATGATGGAGAGCACAGCACACAGTCAGCTGGTCACCACATGTAGTCAGTCCCACAGGCTCAACATCTCTAAACCCACCCCTGCACTCCAACCAGACCTCAGTCTTTGCTCAGGTCTTTGTCATTTCTTGCCTCCCTACCCAATTTCTTTTTTCCCTTGGTGACATCAGAGGGATCGAGCATCCAGACTGTAGTGCAGGCTCCTCTCCTGCTGAATGAACTCCTCCATGGCTGCATTAACTGTGGGTAAAATCAACTCCTTATGACAGCACTTGAGGGCCTACGACATGCTGACCTCTCTCATCTGATCTCTCCCAACATCGMGTGCCTGTTCTTTACCCCACTTGCTCCTGACCCATGTTTTGTCTGGGCTGTGTCTTRGCACATCTTCATAGTTTTGCTGCTGTCCTTCATGTTCCTTTTCTCTGTGGATCAAGGGTCACCTTGTCCCAGAAGAGCRTCTAAACTCTCCCCGACCTCAAAGCTGCATGAGGTGCCCCTCAAGTCAATGTGCACACCAGCCCAGTCAATTCGACTGCACACAACGGATCTCCTGGACCATCTCACCCAACAGAATGCCGTGCAGCAACTCCATTGTCCTCCTGTCTGCCCAGCCAACAAGTGGTTATGGATGAATTTGTTTCTCACCTTTCATTAACCAAAAGACAACAGAACAACCGATAAAACAGAAAATGCTATCAGAGTAATAGATCAAACTCAAACAACTACTGATACTATCCTAATTTCCTCATGCTTGAACAAATTCTGAAAGCAGTGATCATTAATCTTCCCATTTGGCTAAGGGCCTGGAATTGCTAGAGCTGAAACAGCTCCCTCCCTAGGCAGGAGGACCACAGAGTGGAGCCATCTCTACAGTCTCYGTATCTRCCTCGTACATAGTRGGATTTTTTTTTTTTTTTTTTTGGTACCAGAGACTGAACYCAGGGATGCTTAACCCCTGAGCCCCATCCCCAGCCCTTTTTAAYTTTTATTTAGAGTCAGGGTCTCACCAAGTTGCTTAGGGCCTCACTAAGTGGCTGAGGCTGGCCTCCATCTTGCAATCCTCCTGCCTCAGCCTCCTGAGCTGCTGAGATGACAGGCGTGYGGCTTCTAATAAATGCTTATCAAATGATTTTCAGGCTCAACTATAAAAATAGCACATAGCTAAGAAACCTACTTTTTTTTCCCTCCCCATCTACATTTCATAAATCGTTACTCACCCTGTTGATTATACTCCCAGCCAAATTTCTTTGAGTCCTGCAAGGCCTGTCCTAGAAGGGCCGCCTGGTGCATCAGTTTCTTAGGAATACAGCCAACATTCACACAAGTGCCTCCAAGGCCTGGGAAAGAAAGGAACAGTGAGTGTGTGTGAGTGTGTGACTGTGTGTGTGTCTGTGTGTGTGACTTCAAACACCTGCACTGTGTTAGTAAAACATACAGAACTGAAGAGAAACAAGAGAAGGCAAAGAGAGAGAGAGAGAGAGAGATCGAGAGGGGAAGACACAACTGCACGCACACCACAAGAACACCAGAAGGARAAACAAGCTCCTTGTTTCACTATATGAAACTGTAGGCTGAAAGGTTCCGAGCCAGCTTGAATGTTAAAAGTGACTTTTGCATTTTAGCATCAGGGTTCTAGAAAATTCTAGAATGTTCATAAAGAAGTTATTACGAGATGTGGGCTGGAAGAGCAAGAAGGAACGGCACAGCGCCCTAACCAGGAAAGCAGTCCCTGTGCAGGGCAGGAGGCCAAGTGAGGGCCTGACCCAGAGGGTGTCACCACSTGACAGAGGTGGCCTTCCGGGAAGAAGGCAGGCAGCCCCAGGGACTGGCATGGAGGAGCCAGAGCCATAGGACCCCAGTCCACTCTGCTCTGCTGTCCCTCATTACAGCAAACTGGCCAACCCTGACCAGAAGYCAGAGGGCCAGGCCACCAACTGGCACAGAGCAGGGCAGAGACGGAAGGAGGACACCCAGCACCAGGCCTGTGTGCTCTGTTTGACACAGAGGAAAACTAACCTGGCAGGTGACCACTCTGCCTACAGCACCCATCCTGGGGCGGGGACCGTATCGTGTCCCTTACTTAACTAAGCTGTGATGACCATGGATCCTAACGCCACTGACTTACTGTGTGGCCACTCAACTCAATTATGACAYTGGTGCAGAAACACCCACAAAAATGTCCATGGCAACTCAGGGGACCAGGACCTAGGTCACACACTGTGGTCACTGTGTACACATCAAAGGGGGCGCACCCTCCGATCACGGATTTTTTTTTTAATTTGCAAAATGTCCCTCCAKTTATCTTGGCACTGTCACCACCGATGACCGATGACCTGAGACTTGGCCTCCTCGATTCTGGAAGGGACTACTTCAGCTCTTGAGCTTCCTGTGGGACTAAGAGGTGTCACACGTATAAACGATGCACGGAAAAGATCAGAGAACGCACAGCTTACCCCAGGATGTGCCCTGAGGGGAAGGGACCACAAAGTCCAGGACCAGGACTTTCTTTCCCAAAATGGCTGCTTCCTACAAAAACAATAACAACGACAACTATATTGAAAGTGCAAGAAGTAAAATCAAGTAAAGAARAATTCTTTCATTCCCCAAATAAAAACAGTCTGTTTTTCTGGGATAACATGGTCTTTTCCCTGAATGAAAATGGCTGATAAAATAAAAGCCTAAGATTGTGATGTTAACATGAAATATTTTTGTTTAGAACAATAAGCAGACGAGATGCTTATGTCAATGGCCAGGAAAAAATCAGCTSCAAGGGCACCTTGTTTTTGTTGTTGTTGTTTGTGTTCCTACCTTTGCACACGAGAGGCCACCAGAACCACCACCAATGACAATGAGATCATAATCATTGGCCGAGCCTTCCTGCAGGAGCTTCTGTAACAGCCCGCTGTGATGTGCCTGTGTTTGAGCAGAAGGAGAAGGAACACCGTGTGACTTCACGATCCAGAGCAGTGTGCTCACACCCACAGACAATCTCAGGGCCAACAGGCCTACGATTCACCCAGGGCAGAGCTGCCCATTTCTCTGCGTGTTGGCCAAGCAGAGTCGAAGTGGTCAGAATGTGTGTGGTGACCTATCCCAGGTAGGCAGCACATGCCAAATGGCCAAGAGGGCTGTGGCCTTGTCCGTATGGCAGACGGGGTCAAGTGCAGGGGAATAACCAAGCATCACTTTTCAAAATCCTTGTTTCTCTGTGCCAATGTGTCTGTCTGTCTCTCTCTCTTTTTTGGTACTGGGGACTGAACCCAGGGGTGCTTAACCATGGAGCCACATCCACATCCCTTTTTATTTTGAGACAGGGCCTTGCTAAGTTGCTGAGGCTGGCCTCTACCTTGCAATCCTCCTGCCTCAGCCTCCTGATCCACTAGGGTAACCGGCAGGCACCACCGTGCCCGGTCTGTGCCAGTCTGTTTTAAAAACAACTGTTACACATTACCAGCAATTTTTGTCTTGATTTCTTATACATCTGTCTAAATTTTATAGCTAGACTTGTGAACTTCCTATGCAAAACAAATCCCTTGCAAATTTTTCTTTCCGAAAGGATCACGACACGGGTTCTGTACCAGAGTCGCTTGCTCCTGTGGCCCGTATGGTGGCCAAAAGCAGTTCAGAGGAGGTGAGAGTCTGATACGTGACTCAGCAAGCCTTCTTCACTCCAAGTCAGTTACCCAATCCCCCAAGCTCAGCTTTAGAAATGACAAGCTCAAACCAGCCCTTCCTGAGAGGGACAAAGGTGCTTATTTCATAACTTCAGGGATCAGCCAGATGCTATGTGGCCCATGAAGGATGTGCACCCACGATGGCTTGTAAACATCCTAAGGAGAGCTCCACCAGCCTCCTTACTTTTTGAAGTGCTCAGGGAAATCCATCTCAAAGCTCTTTACCTGCACCCTGTGTTCGGTGTCCAATCAGCATCGATTTCATTTACAAAAAGTCTCGGGGCCAACAGATCTACCACTCATCTCAAGTTGGAACTGACACTTCTCTGCGTGCTGCTCAAGTAGGGTGGAACGAGTTAGGATGTGCCACCCAAGAAGAAGCCCTTGTGTTTCTGAAACAGGTCTGCTCTCTGGGTCCCCCCAGGCCCAATCTCTTGACACCATAATCCGGGTGGGGACTGCTGAGGCCAGCTCCAAACGTAATGACAGCACTCACTACCTTGCGCACTGGGTGGCAAGTTCTAGAACTAATAAAGCATGCTGTTACCTAATGACACGGATCGCCCATTCACATGCAATGCACACAATCATTTCTTTCCCAACCAAAATATAATTCTTGATTAAGATTTCAACTCAGGGGCTGGGGATGTGGCTCAAGTGGTAGCGCGCTCATCTGGCACGCACGGGGCGCTGAGTTCCATCCTCAGCACCACACAAAAAATAAAGATGTTGTGTCCACCGAAAACTAAAAAAAAAAAATATTAAAAAATTCTCTCTCTCTCTCTCTCTTTCTCTCTTTAAAAAAAAAAAAGATTTCAAATCAGTATTTAGCCAATCGCTGGTGGCTCACATTTGCATACAGGCACCAAAGAGAATGGAATTTTAATTAATAAACTAATGATAAAATAAGGATTGTTTTTTAATTGTGTGGGGGGTGCAAAGGATCCCATGCAGGGCCTGTGCATTCGAGGCAACCACTCTACCCCTGAGCCACATCCCCAGCCCCATAAATATCAATTTTTTATCGATTACTACCTAACAGAAGGACTCCTGCCCATTTCATGCTTTTTAGAAATAAAAATAATCCATATAGAACATCTACGACTGATATACATATGGATACTAGTTGTAGATGCACACAGGACCTTTATTTTATTTATTTATTTGTATGTGGTGCTGGGGATGGAACCCTGTGCCTCATGCGGGCGAGGCAAGCTCTCCACCCCTAGGATGAGAAAGTGAAGGTCAATGGCCCTGAGCAAATTAGTCATCCCGGATCAGCGGCCTTGCCAAGAATTCTAATGATCCTGGACAAGATTGTGGGCGCTGACCTCATTTTACAGGGGATCAGCCTTCCCTTCTCTCCCCAGGAGGAGGAGCAGGCCTGGCCTGGCCCCAGGGGACACACCTGTGTGGCCTGGTAACCTCATTCAGAAACGCTCTCCTTCCTGCTCCTGAATTCAGGTTGGTAGAAAAGCTCATCTCCTGGGAAGCCATCAGGGTTCGCTGATCACCATCCCAAGGGATCTTCCACTTTMCAACTTCAAAATGACCAAGTATAAAGACTTCTGAAAGCCATTTCCTTCTCTTTTAAATGCTTTTGAGAACAGAACGAGGACGAGAGGCAGGGAGGGCTTACCTGGAAAGTCCTGTCACATCCTCCCACGTGCACTCTATTCACAAAAATGTTGGGCACCGTCTTCTGATTAGTGATTTCTGTCAGCATTTCTTGAACACGGATCCCATCATCTAGAGAATAAAAAGTTCAATAGASACCCTGTGTCAATGGTGCCAAGTAAATCAAACTGAAGGGTCACAGCACTACAGTGCTCACAGGGACACACCTGGGACAGGWGACACATCTGCCATGTGTTCATGACTTCATGAAATGTCGACTCCAGAGAAAACCTTGGGAACCTAAAGATCAATCTACCGATCCCTCTAAAAATAGAGGCTGAGGCTGGGGCTCAGGGGTACAGCGCTTACCCAGCACATGTGAAGCACTGGGTTGGATCCTAAGCACAGCATGAAATATAAATAAATAAAATCAAGGTATTGTATCTACCTMCTACTAAAAAAATAAAATAAAATAAAATAGAGCCTTCTGCCAGGCACAGTGGCACATGCCTATAATTCCAGTGGCTCGGGAGGCCGAGGCAGGAGGATCGCAAGTTGGAGGCCAGCCTCAGCAACGGCGAGGCCCTGAGCAACTCAGGGAGACCCTGTCTCTAAATAAAACACAAAACAGGGCTGGGGACAGGGCTCAGGGGTTGAGTGTCCCTGAGTTCAATCCCTGGTACTAAAAAAAAAAAAAAAAAGCTTTTTAAAAATCTTCTTAAAAATAACTTTATATATTTTTATATGGTGCTGAGGATTGAACCGGGTCAGTTTTGTTGCTTAGCCTCACACATGCTAGGCAAGTGCTAYGCCACTGAGCCACAACTCCAGCCCCTGAATTAGCTTTTGATTTATAATTCGACAATTATAAGAACCCTCTCTATTGTTCCAACTCAGAAAAAAATTTCCTATAATTACATTTGGAAATGTGTATGAGCATAGACTAAAATAGACTCTCCATTGCTGAAAATACAAGTGGGCCAAGACTATCTAAGATTGCCGCATGTGGTGTACTCTGCAGAGAAACCTAAAGATTCAAAAGTGTGTTGAGTGGGGTGCTGCACATCTGTCATCCCAGCAGCTCAGGAGGCTGAGGCAGGAGAATCGCAGGTTGGAGGCCAGCCTCAGCAATTTAGCAAGGCCCTCAGCAACTCAGGGAGACCCTGTCTCTAAATAAAATATAAAAAGAGCTGGGGACAGGACTCAGTGGTTAAGCACCTCTGGGTTTAATCCCCAGTACCAAAAAAAACCCAAAAGATTCAAGACTATTTCACTTCCCACAGTGACATGGAGGAAATAGCCAGTTTCATGAAGACAGAGATCAGGTATTTTCTGATCATGACTGTCCCCAACCCTGCAAAGCACCCCATGTGCAAAGTGTTCAATGAATCAAACGCACAGATGCCAAGGAGTCTAAAGGATAAAACTAAAAGCTCCATGTGCTCCCGTCCGTGGGTGACAGAACCAGGAAGAGGAAGTCTATTTCTTTCATTCATTACAGCTTCAGCTATTTTGCTCGCGAGTTGGCAGATCCATTTGAAATACCTCAAATATTCCAAGTAAGCAGCTTACATATTTTCCTCCCACTCCCTTCCCTCAAATAGGAAAAACATATAATAAGAAAATCTACACCAAATGATTTGTCACATAAGGACTCATTTTCTGCTTGGTGGAACATACACAAAAATGGCTCATCTCACCCAAAGAGACAGGAGCAAATTGAACTGAAGCAAACCCAGGGGAAGAAGTCAATCTTGGTGGCATGCGCTGCAGACAACACGGTGCACTGACTCTCTACTCACCGACTTGATCAAGTTCCAAGATGTTACAGTCCACTCCCAGAGAAGAAAAGAGTTCTTTCACCTGYAACAAAGATCCACCTGTTTCAACAAGTCAGGAAACATGGCAGAAGAAGAAGAGATGTCCACAACAACGCTCTTTGGGAATAGGAGTTGGGCCTGTTGTTTTTTGAATTTATTTTCCTAGTTGTAGATAGACAGGGAGCCTGCAGAGGGGAATAGGTTGACTTGGGGCTCAGGGTGTCCACAGACGGTGGCCCCACTCCTGGCCAAGGGGAGGCAGGACATCATGGAGGAAGAGTGTGGGGAGGGAGCAGCTCCCATGGGGACCAGGGAGCAGGGACTCCACTCTCCAGGGACAAACAGGGACCCCAAGCCACAGCCCCAGGGCCACCTCCTCCCCACACCCCACCAGGGGCCACCAGGGGACCCCCAGGGAGTCATTCAGTGCTGGGGTTCAGGCCTCACACCCCTCACTCCTCTTCTGGACCTTCCTGTGTCACCTCCCAGGGGGACTCTGGGGACACTCCCAGCCCCACTATAACAGCTCCCAAATCTGCAATTCGTGCTCAAATCTCTCTTCTGACACCAGGATGTCCCCAAGGCACCATCCTCCAAAAGCAACTCACCTTCTTCCCAACCCACCCAGGACGGGTCATTTGCTGTTCTCAGTCACTGAGACACAAAGATGGACAYGACACGGTGGCGGCCCTCTAGGAGGGGACACAGGCGTGGTCCATCATTGGTGTAAATAAGAAACCCCAGAGACTGCTGCTGCGACACGGGACAGAAAAACAACAGCATGGGTGTCCCCTGGACCCACAGGATCAGGACCTGGAGCCAAAGTGGCACTGGAACGACTTTGCAAAGTAGTCACTGGGCAACATCGTCCAGCCCCAAACTCGCTCCCACCCACCGTATTACAGTAATTACTAAGTCTGAATTCTCCATCTTGAACTGCTTCATCTTCTTAGTTCCCTACAGTCGATATCTTAATATGCGACATCAATATTTACTAATAGAATTTCTCAGTGATATCCCAAAAGTTCTYCCTGCACCAGTGTTGTCCCTTCTGGTTTTCAAAATGGCAGTCAAAGTGACCTCTTCAAACCCGCTTTGTGCCACATTCCTTAAAACCCTTTAGTGCAGCCAAGCGTGCTGGTTCATGCCTATAATCCATGCTCGGGAGGCTGAGGCAGGAGGATCGCAAGGTGGAGGCCAGCCTCAGCAACTTAGGCCYTAAGCAACTCAGSGAGACCCTGTCTCYAAATAAAATGSAGAATAGGGCTGGGGATGGGGCTCAGGGGTTAAGTGCCCCTGGGTTCAAGCATCAGTACCAACAACAACAACAACAAACAACAACAAAACCCATCAAAACCCTTCAGCACTCTCAGCACTTTACACAAAACCCAGAGTTCCCACTTCCACTCAGAAGGTCTACTCCACGGCCAAACGTGTGAGAAGACACAGAGGCCCAACCTGCCAACCCAAAGGTGTTTTTCCATTCTGCTCTTGACACATGCACTGTATTTTGGCTGACAGCCACGGTGTCCCCGCCCCACACTGGCTATTCAGGGGCTCCCACCACCCGGGAGCACACTGCCCAGTGGCCACCTCATGGGCCGCCCAGCTGAGCCACCATCCTGACAGCTTGGCCTCTGCACATGCTTCCTGGCTGCAGCTAAAGAACATGCAGCTTCCGAGGCCCTGCACACACTGGGGTCAGCCTGGTGGGATGACAGCACCCTTCTGAGGCTGCTTCCGATGGCCTCACTTTGGTTCATACAGAGCCTGTCCCCTACACGTGACCAAGCAAAAAAAACCACAGGCAGGACACTGTGTACATGCCCAACCTTGTCCTTTCTGTCCACACACACAGCCCTCCTCCCACCCCCCAAGAGCTCAGTCTGTGCTGCTTCCCCTAAGTCCCAACAAACCCTTCCAGGGGGTATTATTTGCCCATTCATGATGTCCACCTGGAGCAGAGTAGGCTGAGCTAGGTCCAGGAAGAGCTGTTAACACTAMAGGCTGCTGGCACTCAAAGTGGCCAGAAGTGGGAACTGGTGACAGAGGGTGACTATGAGAAGGCGAGTTTCTGGGAGCTGCAGGTACGGCGGCCTGGTGAGCTGCTAGCTCCAGCTGCAGGGTGAGCTGTTAGTTGGAGCTGCTACAAGAGAGCGGGGAGAGCTGTTACTGCGCCCGCCCGGTAAGGGAGCTGTATTTGCCTGCTGGCAATTTCCATCTGAACTCAACCCAGAGCCCTTGGCCTACTGGGAACGCATGTGCAACAGCGAAAATTATTTTCACAGGCTCTGGAAATTTCCTAAGTGCCTTCAGCAAGTGAAGAAACGTTTATGCAAGGAAATCAATGAACTCTCAGTAACAGCAGGGAGAGTCCAGCCCCTGAGCTGTACMTCCTCCTCCTCCTCCCTCCCTGYYCTGCCCGAGGTCAGCCTGGTGGGAACCCCAGTTGAAGTGTGGCCTAGAAAACAAACTCCCAATCTCTCTCAGAATAGCAGGCACCAGCACCTCTCACCACCACCCCCACCTCTCACTCTGAGTCACTGAGGCTCAGTGCTCCAGCGGCCCCACTGAGATCAAAAGCCACATACCCCAGCTGCAGCACAAGGGAAATACTGGGACCAAGATCCCCATCATCACAGTTTACCTGTAAGGTGAAGTCCAAAGCTGGGAAAAGCAAGCCAAAAAGAAATCCCCTTATAGGGTCCTGCTCATCAGTCCCCGTCCCCACTCCCAGCATCCTTTGGGGCAGTGGTGGGGCAGATACCAGGCACTGAACTCAGGGGCGCTCAACCACTGAGCCCCGTCCCCAGCCCTATTTGGTATTTCATTTAGAGACAGGGTCTCACCRAGTTGCTTAGGGCCTTGCTTGTTGCTGAGGCTGGCTTTGAACTCTCGATCCTCCTGCCTCAGCCTCCTGAGCCACTAGGATGACAGGTATGTGCCACTGTGTCCAGATGCTCCTCCTAGTTCTTAAACAAGACCTCAGAGTTTTGGCCCAGTGGAGATGCAGACCATGAGAGCAAAGAACTCCAGAGCTCTTCCCACAAGTAGCATCACACATGATAGCATAATATTGATAATGTTTCCTTTAAGATCAGAAAGGAAGCCTGCTTTCGCCACTCTATTTCAACACAGCATTGAAAGTCCTAGCCACAGCAATAAGGCAAGAAAAATGAATCGAACAAATTCTTGTCCCAATTGGAAAAGAAGTAAAATCATCTCTGTTCACAAGCAGCATAATCTTATATGTACAAAACTTGAAGATTTCAAAGACACATACACATCAAAATTGTTAGGATGTACAAAATCAGCAAAGTTGCAGGGCACAAAGTCATGACGACTAGTTATTTTCCATATACTAATGATGGATGAGCCAACCAGGAAATTAAGAATTCCATTAACAACAGCATGAAAAGAATTAAACTGCTTAGGAATACACTTAACCATGGAAGGTAAAGACTTATACACTAAAAACTACAAACTACTGCTGAAAGAAATAAAAGGTACCAATAAAYAGGAAGACATCTTGTGTTTCAAGGATTAGAAGACTTTAAGTTGTTGTCAATAATACACCAAGCAAGCTACAGACTCCATGCAATCCCTATCAAAAATCTCAATGATGTTTCTTTTTTCAAAAATTGAAATCTTTCCTAAAATTCAGATGGAACCTCAGGGAGTCTTATATAGCACACCCCACCCCCCAAAATGAAATCTTGAAAGCTGGACATCTCTTGCTTCTTGATTTCAAAACTTGCCACAAACCTACAGTAATCAAACATAAGGAG